CAGAAACCTAACTTGAACTTAAGATATTTTAAGAAGATTAAAAATAGCCAGGAGCTCAGTTGCTCTGAGAAACTGAGATGAAAAGCAGAGGCAAAATTCCAGCAAATATTAGATCAATCTTTCCAGTGTTGTGCTGTGGTGTGTTATCTGCCAGTCCTCATTTTATCTCATTCCATTAATGAAATAAGCTCTGAACCCTTTAAATTTTGGGGTTTTTATGCTATGGCCACAGTGGAATGAGACCAAGACCAGGCATGAAAGTCTCCATAGCGGTTTATCTGCTCTGCTGCAGAGTGCCTCCTTCCTGATTTTTTTCTCATCTCATTAAAAGTTGACCACCACAGTCTGGTCCCCCACAGTGTGACCTCTGCATTTGCAAACCAGCAAAAGCCGATAAAATTGGGCCCTTTCTAGACTGAATCTARAGATCAGTGAATGAGCCATTTTGCTCATCAGAAGCTGAAGTTGCTGCAGAGTTTGTTTTGCAGAAACRTGGTGCTCAGGACTCTACATGGTTCTATTTAGTAACAGAAGTACTTGGGTTCCTAAAAGGACTTGCCCCACTGCGGTGCGGGGGCTTCTCACCAGGCACCAAGGAAAGGGCTTAACCTGCYGACAGGTGAGACCTCAATTTTTGAGATGTTGATTTACCCCTTAAATACAGGCCAAAAAATAGCATTTGGGAAAACATTTAATCCACTTTTTCTACCTGTCAGCCACGTCCCTCTGGCCAGAAATCTGATTTTTCTTTTTTCTGGGATTTCATCAAGAGCTCCTCTGCTGCTCCTGGCATAATGCTGCATTACTAATGAATTTTAAGCCTTGACCCATTTTAAAATAGTCAAAAACATTCAGAATTGCCTTATATTGATATTTCTTTGCCTGACTGCAATCTTTCTTGCTTCCCTTTTAGATGACTCACTCTGCTTATATTTATCACCTTCAGACTTTGAAAGTTCCATCCCATAGAGGCAAAATAATATTCTGCCTCGTTTTTGTAAAGTAAAATGAGATAGTTTGGCTTTAAGTAGAAAAAATAACCCTGCTCTTCTCTCAAAAGAGGGTTTTTTTCTGTTCCCCTTCCACATTGCATCGCACTGTCCTCTAGTGGATAGTCCAGGCAATTATTTCTGTTCTCTGAGTTTTTGGTGCTTCTCTGATACARTGATGTTCGAGCTTTGTTTGCAGGAAGCCATAAACAGTAGCTACTATAAAAAGCTAGTGGATTTGAGTCAGATTTTCAAGACTGGATCAGAAAAGCCAGGTTTAACCTGCAGTCCAGGTTATCCTTATGTAAAGCCATTCAAAACTATTTGTATCTGACTCACCAACTGGAGCAGAAGGATGTAGAGTGAGGATGCTTAAGKGCATGGGAGCAGTTGTATTACATGGTGTTGAGTTTCCTTGGCTCATTCTGAAACGTCTCTCTTTCCCTGTCTCCAAAACACATCCCAGAGTAGAAAACTGGACAAATGCCGCTTGCTTCATATTCCATGAGTACATCTTTAGGTGATGAAAGAGTTAGGAGTGATCAATAAATGCATTTAGTCAGCTTGGGATGTAGAGGTGTTTTTCAGATTTCAATCAAAGCAAACAGTAAGCAGGTCTTGCCTAGTGCAGCTCTTTAATTTGCTGCAGGTGTAATTCTACTCATGGTGCCGAAGAGCTTGTTTTCAGCTAAAATAAATAGGCTGAGCTTCAGAGGAACGCTTTACAGCAAGGTCAGAGATAATATAGGTAATTTTATAATATTTACAGCACACGGTGTGAGCGTTCATGTGTCTGGGAGGGAAGCGGCACGCGCAGTCGGGCACTGAAAACAGAGGGAAAACGGCCGYGAGGGTGTCCTGCTGCCATCAGATGAGTTAGTGATCTTGGGAAAGTTCTCCCAAGACCCACTGGCAGGATTTCAATGCAGGGGGCCTCAGTGTTAGAATAAATGAGGTTGAGTTTTCTGTACATTGTACATACTGAAACATTTTGCTAGGAGATAAATGTTTTGTTAAATGCTTAGATGCTGGAGCGCGTTGCCAATAGTATTTAAAAAGGCCTTTGCTTTCAACTCGGGCCTTGGTGATGGCTTTTCCCTGCCAGTTTCCAGGCGTTTTTCCATGCCGGTGCCGGCGGGGTCAGCGGGATGCGGAGCCGGTTTGTCCTCTGAGGAGCCCTCGGAGTGGCGCCAGGCCGGGCGGCCGAGGCGGCTGCCTGTGCGGGAAGCTCCGGAGATCACGGAGCTTCAGTCCGAGCTCCTTTSGTGTCGGCCCTGGCTGTAGGTGAGGTGCTGTGCGCCCCTACCTGAATTCGTGGGATCAAATTCTCTGTGGTAGGGACGAAGAAGGTAAAGGGAAGAGAAATAGCAACTTGCAAGCGTCGGGTTTCTGTCCTCTCTATTTTTGTGTGCAGAATTTGTATTGTTAGGGCAGAAATTGGAGGATATTCGGTAGACGAGACTGTAGTYGCTGCAGACATCGAGACGTCCTACGTATGGATTTATAAATGGGCATTAAGAAGGGTGAAATGCTTTAGAGATGCTGCCTGTATTTATCCTGGAGTGTGTCATGATCAGATGTCATTGTGTGTTTTCTTAGGCTAAGAACACTATAGAGGGAGGAAAAAAAAGAGAAAAATTATTAAAGTTGTAGATGTTGTATCTAATTTTTAGGCCATGAGCAAGTGCACTAAAACTGTCCTTTCCCTGTACCTGCAGTGTTCGTAGTTGTTTGGAGCTTTTCGGATTATGTCAGTGATCCAATACACCTCTAGCACTAATCTCTGAGCACAACTACTTCTATTAATAGGGTAGCGCTTTTGGGTGTTGGGGGGCTTTTGTTTTCTTTTTGTTTTGTTTTCTTGATGCCAGATACTCAGAGGGTTGTGGGCACTGTCACCTAAGGCATGCAGCTGGGCAGAAATGGTGATTATAATACGAGCAGGGAAGCTTCTGAAGATATTTTGCCTTCTTAATATTTATTCAGCATGTTCTCTGTGTGTTAGATGCTGAGTATGTTGATATGTGCTGATCCTGATAACGCAATAAGAGGTTAATTTTTTTGGAAACTGTACACGTGGAGATTGTGCATTCTCCTTGCACATGAAATAGTGAAATCTCTTTCATCCATCTGCTGGGTCTGAATGTTAAGATCTTTTCAGGTTAGAAAGGCAAGATCTGCCCGAGCTGCAGAAGCAAATGTAAGCAATGCTCACAAATTTCAGCAGAGCTGAAGAGAATCTCTGCATCATCGGGTGTGATCCGTTGGCTTAGTTGTAAGATTACAATAAAACTCAAGATTGAATTCTCTACCTGAATCAGTTTCTTACTGATTGAATCCTTTTAGACTTCTCTCTAATTTAACAGAGTATTTTTTATTAAAGTCAAGGATACAAACATCAATTACCCAAGCTGCATCTAATTTCCTCCAACATTTTTTTTTCCTTTAGCTGCCAATGGATTAGAAGCCCTGATTAGAATGCAGCTTGGAAGTGGAAAGCAGATCCTTATATGAGAATGTCTGTGTCAGGAATTAAAATATCTGTACAGGGCACAAAATCCTCCTCCTCATCGCTGTTAATGCGAACGTGCTTGCTTAAGTTGGCCGGCCACGTGCCTGGTGCCAYGTCCCTAAATTAGGCACGTGTATTAGAAGGGACACAGCGGTGTCTGAGGCTTGTTCTGCTGCTCGACTGCTCCGTGGGCTGCTCCACTGCACGTGGTTTAATATCAGCRCCCTTTGCCTGGGTGTCCCCCTGCCACAGGGGTTTATGTCCTGAAGGACTGAAAAACTCTGTTTTATCTCTTCTGTTTTACCTCCTAACACTGCACTCTGTAGTTGTTGTATCATGGCACCTAATTGCAGAGGGAGAAATACGGATAGGGAGATGTTTAAGGGAACGTATTACTAATTATTGCCTGATACTTGATACCGTCTTTATCTCGTCGTCTTGCAAGTCAGTGCTATTCTGGAARGCTTTTTTTGTGACACTCAGTGAAGCTTATTGATGAGTGTCCAAAAACGTGGTGGATGCTCCCCAGTATAGAAGCAGCAACAGAATAACTTGGTAATCTCTGCATGGTGTCCGTTTGGTTCCTCGCTTTAACCAGGCTTCCCTCTACRGCTTGTTATTAACTTGGGTCCAGTGTTTGGGTTCAGTTGGGTTCAATTATGTTGATAAGGTGCATTGTGCTCTGTCCACCTTAGGACAAAAGTAACTTTATTTAGCTCTGACTGCGTTTTAGCAGTTAGTATTGTATTGAATTTCAGGAGTCAGGGGGCATCCTTGTTCCTGTTGAGCTGCGGACCCTGCAGACGTCTTGTRTGTCGTGATGGATGATTCAATTGTGAATTGGATGCAAGAATCCCAGTTTCTCGAAACTGAAAAAGCAGGAGGGGGTTAGGTTGTAATCAATTAATCTGCTGTAATTAATTCTCTTTGTTACATGTCTTGTTAATTAGAAACGATTTTACTTGCTTTATCAAGTCAGGGCGAGTATTTTACCTTCTCCTCTGTGCTGCTTATAGTGAAGGGTTCGTGCAAAGTGTTTTATGAAGTMTCCATGTGTCTACTTCATTTTTAAGAGGTTTCAGATGAATTGCAGATTGTAGGGTTGGCCTTAGGCTTTACMTATAGACACGTGTGTTTTCGCAGTGTGCTTGCACTCATGCTCACGTGCTGTTTTCTGAGCTCATCTCTGATAACTGTTCAAGTGCTTAGAGAAAAAAAATAAATTCAGACTAACAATTGATAAATCTGTGATTAAAAACAAAAATCCTCTTCTGTGCAATAATTATTTATGACATAAATTGCCTTACCACTTTAGACCAAGGCCATTAATCCAGGCTACCCCAGAAGTAGTCTCAGGATCAAGTTCTGTGGATTMTACTGTCACAACTTGTAGACCTCTTGGGGAGAGAGCCAGCCTAACGGAGGAGAATTTGTTACCCACTTTTGGATTTTATACCTCTATTTATAAAACCTTATGTTCTGCTGTTTCTTTCCTACAGGTCGAAGCGATTCTTGTGAACATTTTTGGTGGGATTGTGAACTGTGCCATTATAGCCAATGGCATTACCAAAGCCTGCCGAGAGCTGGAGCTGAAGGTGCCCTTGGTGGTCAGACTGGAAGGTGAGTGCTCGTGGTCTTCCCTTGGGAGCACTGGAAACCCTTCCGGCTGTCTTTGATCTCTGGGCGTGACTTAGTTGAACACTATAAGAGTATGTCCAATTCTGCATGCCAAGGATGACTTGAAATCACTAAACTCTCTCTCCTCACATATTTCTGTGTTCCTGGCCCCAGGTGGTAATGGAAGCAATAACATTTTGCAAAGAAAGCATAATGGTTTTGCTTGTAACATTTGTAATTCAAATAGAAACTTGCATCAAAATCATTTCTATTTACGGGATAGCTTGATTTTTTTTCCCAAACCATTTTTATTGAATGCAGTTCCACTATTGCCAAACCTCCAGCAGCACATGATTTTCTTAAACCTACTGCAGTAGCATAATTAAAAGATGCTAGAAACAGTATTCTTAGGAGAGAGGTTTCTGTAATGAGTTGTCCTGCTCAAATCCAATTCAGCTGAAAAAAAAATCCGGTAGAAAACTGTGTCTTTGGTAGTGTATAGGGAATAGTTTTGGGGATGCATCCAGCATTGCTTAGTTTGGGAAAGAAGGGTGCTCAGGCAGAGCAGCCCTTGGCCATTAGTAGCTTTTCTTTAGTGTAATAGCAGGGGAGTCCTTATTTCTAAAAAGTATCCTGAAGGAAGGAAGGAGGAAGGTGGTTCTGTCACTGAATGAAAAAGTGCTTTGCCTTTGTGCTGTGAAATCAGCCCAGCATTGCTATACTGAGAACTAAAGTGTATATAAATAGAGTCTTTTCATTTGTTTGAAGTTAAAATGACTTTAGAAAAAAMTCCTCTGTAGCCTTTTGCTGTAGTTAGGAGAGAGAATAAACTGCCTTGGATTTTAAAAACRAATAACAAATATTTTCACTGGATTTTCACCACTAAGCATCTTGTAAGGCTAACCAGATAGTTTAATGTGTGTAGAAGACTGAAGGATATTGGTTACAGGGAAGAACGATTTCGAATATGAAATCTCATTGCTTATCACTTTTATGCAATGTTGCTTTAGCTTCTTGTCATGGCAGAAAAACTTCCCTTATCTATCATGGCTTTCAGAGACTTTATCTATATCATAGCTATAAATGTCTTTTGCATTGCAAAAGGCTTCCTGTTCATCATAGCTGTTACTTAGTAAGTGCAGATAGTGGAAAAAAACTTTCCCTTTCCCTCTAAACAAGGGAGCTGCAAGTTGCTTCTAGAAACCAATATAAGAGAATCAGGGAAAATCATCATTTTCAAGTAGAGCCTGCTAGGTCTGCCATAAGGTTTTCTTGCCATTTCTCGAGTGCTTTTAATTAATATGCTCCACAGTAGCACACATGTAAGTGTGAAACTTTATTTCATGGCTTCGGAGGGATTGCAAAAGCCAAGCAGTCCCTGGGCTGAGTTAGGATAAGGGCAGCTCTCCGGGTTGGGATTTGCATAGTGCTGAGCACGCAGCTCCTGGCACTGCCTGCGCAGTGTCTGGCACTGCAGTCAGCTGCTSCTCTCCCCAGGCAGGCCTTGGGAGTGTTTAATTCTCTGTATGCGACCAGAATGTTTTATTCTTTGTACGCTACTGGACTGGCACGTATGGAAAAGGAAGAGAACAGGAGCCATTGCACCCTTATGAGAGTCATGTGCTGCTTAATGTAGAGCRATCAAAGCTGAATCTTCACATGGTTAAAAACAGATATTAATGCAAGTATCCTTGGTAATCTTCTTCCTACAATTACTCACTTTTGACTAGGTCTAGAATTAGGATTTTTCTCTTCCAGTCGGTGACTCTGGAGTTAGCAGGTTTTCTTTAGGAGTCCCTGTCCCAGTGTAATACATTGAACTGTCACTTTTGTACAGTATTTATCCCCAAAAGCTTTCTAATTCCTTGTATTATTCCTAGTGTTACCCATYAGTTTATCCTAAATGAAGACCTCTGATGTTCACAGCCTTCAGATGTTGTATTTAAAAACCATTACCTTGTAACTCTTGCTTTCTTTGCCTCCTTAATCACCCAACCAAGCAATATATATATTTAGTTCTTTTAATCTTTCCTCAGAAGTCAATCCCTCTGGATTCTTAATCATCTTCATTGTTCTTCTTTGAACTGTTACTGGGTTATCMAAACATATAATGATTTTGAATTAATAGTGACTATTGTGGAAGTAATAAGGCTGCCCAAGACATTTTAAAACATTATTGGTAATATTTTACATTTCAGAAGAGGAAAAAGAAAYATCCATTTTGTTGGGGGGATTTCAATTTCAAACATTTTTTTCCAACAGAAGGTTCATGATTATTCCCATAAATCTGAGTTGTGACCTGCACTTTAAAGATTCTTTGCCACATGCACAGTATTACAGATGTCTTGGTGACTAGAGTTTTAATCAGTCAAATCTGTCTTGATTTAGCAGGATTTTGTGGACAAATCTTTGTTCTCAGTTGTATAATAATTACAAGCTGTTTTACCAGTGGATAAACARAAGATTACTCTTCTCTTTGAAATTAGTAGCTTTATAATTACGTGTATTTACTTGCCTTACCAGTATAGAACTCACCAGCTGAGACGCAGGATTATTGTTGTTTGTATGTGACTCATGAACAAATGGAGAAATTACATATTCTGCATTTACAGAGGCATAAAACTCGCTTCTGCAATTGTTATGCAGGGTTTTTGGTTTTTTCTTTAATGCAATGTATTTCAATTAAGTTCTGTGGAAACCAGCTAGGACTGCTGAATGTAAGCCAAAATTTCTCATTTATGAAGCTTGAAGTTAGATGAAAAGGTAGCAGCAAAAAGGAGCTGTGAATTATAACTTCCTCTTCTCTTCCTGTGTTGGAATTTTTACATTCTCTGTCTTTCAACAAATGAATTCTCTTCTTCTCTGGTCATAGGGCAAGAAGAATTAGAGCAACTGAATATGTTCAAGTGCAGCTAGAAGCAAATTGGCTTCTATTCAAAAGCCTGAATCCCAAATTTCCTATTATGTTTTAGCTGTGTGTTTTGTGACCTTTTGTATTCTTCAGAATGAAATGGGGTTTTTATACATTCAGAAATGTTTTACACACAAGTGAAATAGCAGTGCAGTTTGTGTATCTTGCTACTGTTTGCCTGTGAGCACAAATATGGTTGAGTGTGTATGTCTGTGACTGTTAGCATCCCAAATTGCCTATCAAGAGAAAACAAATATCRGAAAGTCACATTTAGAGCTTCTTTCACATCAGCCACTGCTCGGCATCCTGGTTTTGATCTTCGACGCAAGGTTAAATGTCTTATCAAGTGTTTCCCAAATAGGATGTAAGCAAGGGGCAGAGGAAAAGATAAAATACTCCTTGGGGAAACATTTAAGATAAAGAATAGAAAGACATGGACAGAATGAAAAGATTTGAGTTGTCTCTTGTAAGAATGCAGTGAAATTTGGTCTATTCTTGGCTCCAGAGTCAACAGCTACCAAATGCTAAAGCCACTGAAGCTTCTGAGAGTCAGTGACTGAAGATCATCACTGTTAGCTCCTCACTACCCAAATCTCAAATCAGATGCTGACTTGAAGGTCAGCTAGTGATGAACTTACAAAAACTCTTTTGTTTATTGCACAGCATCCAAGTTTTTGAAACCTTTGGGTTTCCAGTTTGCATCTTGTGGTCTACAAAAATGACATAACCTGAATCTGCCCCAGAAAAAAAGCTTAACTGGCTCTTACTGTGCTCACCAATGTAATGTATTGAATCTGAACCCTTGCTASTGATAGTGGAACATGGTCACAGTGTTGACATCAAAAATTTTCTGCAAACTGCATATTATAAAACATTGTCAGAGTAGATTTTTTTTTGTTCATCATCTGTTTTAGGACATATGTTGCTATATGTACCTCTGTTTTCTGCCCTTAAGGCTTATATCACAGAAAACCTAGAAGAAATGTGGCAGAATCCTGCACGTCATCCTACTTTCAGCCCTATACAGTGGCCACTTAACCTGCTTTTAGTGTTTTTATGATAGTGCAAATTAATGAATATTTCCAAAAATCTTCTTGGTGCAGAGAATGTTTTCTTTGGTTCATTCAACCTATGTGTGCCTATTGCTTGATTTATGACAGCATATATGCCTGTTTACTCCCACAATATGTAGAAACATGCTTAAATGGAGCATTGATTGTTGGGRCTTTTAGATAGCGGAATAAATAGCTTTGCTTTGATAATGGTGGCAGAGATTCTGAGCCAGCAGAAGTATAAAAGTGACACATGACACGAACATAAACACGAGCTTGTTTGGGATCCCAGGTTTCAGGAGGAGGAGGCTTAGAATAGAAAGCCTCAAAGTATATGCTGATAAAATTGCATCTTGCCTGTTTTTCCATGGAGCAGCACTGACAGTAGTAAATGACAAAAATATCTGTTTTCTCATGAAAAAGGTATTCTCCAAATAGTTGGATTTAAAACAAATAAGCAAATAGACCTGTAGCCTTCAGTCTGGTTTATTTTCCCTTTTTTTTTCCAGTTAGTTACAGGRCAGGTGAAGGGCAGGTTATTCTGCTAGCCTGTGCATGGGATTCTGTTTACAGTTCTCTGACACCATCCAGTGGCAGGAGGTTAATGTTAGAGGAGTGGGATTATTTATTTGTTTATTTCAGCATCTACTGTGATAAACAGGTACCTTTTGTAGTGTTTTTTAATGTTTCCAAGTTTTTTTACATTTAATTTTAAAAATGTTATCTCTGTTTTCGGGGAGCTCTCACTGTAGTTTCTGTTGTGTCCAACTATCTAAAATATTGTTGTTATCAGATTAAAAACCCCAATTCTGCAGTTAAAAAAATGATTTACAGCAAAAGAACTGCATGCTGGAAATACATTTCGTTGTATGATCTACCTTTTTAGACAGTATTTAATAAATGTAATATGTAACCTTAGGCTTTCAACAGCTATAAAATACTTTTTCAGCTTTCATATTTCCATTTCTCTGCATAAACTCTCCATCCTTCATAGTGGACTGTGGTTTGCATCGATTTTCTAATGCATGTTAGACAAGTAGTGTGTAGTGCAATCAATGCAGTGCAAAATAGATCTAATGTATTGTTCCTGTTCTGACCTGTTAGTAAATTAACTTTAGCCACTTAGTGAAGAACAAAAATTAGTTTTAAATATGTTGCTATCTCAAAAGGCACAATATTTTTCTTTGTGGGAAGATTGCCAGGAAAGGTTCTCCCTGTCTCCATTCTTTTTCCACATAATGCTCTCTGTATCTTGTAAAATCTTATCTATTTTAAGCGTTTATCACACTTTTATCTAAATAATAGATAAAACCTTCAGACTTGATGGGAATTGCTATAAAAGTGCTAGGAACCTAGCAAAGAAGTGTTTGTAGGGCCTTCAATAGAGGGCAAAAGAGTATACAGCAGCTCTGTTCCGGCAATTGCCGGCTGCATGTAGAGTTTTATGGCTAAAACACCTCAAATCCGAGCACTCTTCTTGSAAGCTCCATAGCAAGATACCCCGTGCTGCTCCATCATGCAGGATACCACACAACCCCGTCCGCTCGTGTCGGGGTTTCAGACGTCTGTGACCCTCCCACATACACTGCGGTGTCCGCACACGAGCCTCCCCTCTGGAGCCCCCCTGCTCTGGACCCCTCTGGGGCGCGGATGCCTCTCGGGGCAGGGGTGGGAGTCTAAACGTGGGCCCGAGGCTGAAACGGGCCGCTCTGCTCTGCGATTTCAGRTATTTGGTAAAGCCTGACATGTTGTTTTTGGAAAAAAGGCAAGTTCACCCTTAAAAATGAGCTTTCTCGACAGCTGCACAGTGCAGAGTGTGTTCATTGCATGGTTAATAATTAAGGGTGTAATTAGTGTATAGCTCCACATATAATTAAAATTCATTTTGCTAGGTCTAGGAATTACAAAGTAATTAAGCATTTTGACATGGCAAATGAACAAGGAGCTTGGTGTGGTCGAAGGGATAGAAGTGCTGCTAAAGAGAATCGGTTCAGGGTCTTGTACTTGTGATTAATGATGTGATCCCAGGGTGTGTATTCCAGTTATTCAGTAAGATATCACTCAAAGTTCTTCCCTGATGCATAAAGGTGTCTGTGATCAAAACAGCCACTTGGTTTTGCTGAAGAAATGTTTGGAAAATCCAGTTTCCTCCTGCAGCTTTGTTTTCCCCAAGGAATGAGCAGGAATTAGGGGAAGGTCTCACGCACTGCAGTAGCTGTGGAAAGGTCAGAAGCTTCATCCATCCTAATTCACGTGACAGGGTGCCAGAAGGGAATTGAGACCTAGAACTAGTACTTTAAAAGTATTGGGGGGAAAAAAGGGCATTTTGAAAACGTACCACATCTTGCAAGTATATTAGTCTAAAGTAATTTGGAATTAAAAATCCAGAGTATTCCTCCTCTTTGTTATCTCTTTCCTTGTCACACYTCCAAGACAGCCTGATTGTAGCTTATCTTCATGTCCCCCAGCAGCATCATGGCACGTTCATGAGCAGTGAGAAGTAGCCTTTGAAAAGGCAAGTGTCCTTYGAGTTCTTCAGATTGAGAACTGGTGCAAGGGTTGAGGCAGCACAGATTATTAAATACTGAGATAATATTAATAATCTTCTAATGACAAAGAGGAAGGAAAATCAAAGCTGTTTGCATTTTGTAGGGTTCATTTGTTCCATATTAAGAATAGCTCACTAAGAATGAGAAAAAAAAAAGTTTAAAAAGCAGGCAAGAGTTTGTATACTAAAGAATTTGTATTYAGCAAGTAGAGCTTGTTATTTTTTATTGACTAAATAAGTACAGTAAAGCCCRGATCTCAGGATGTTTTCAAGATTAGCCAAATCTTTGTCTCCATTATAGCCAGTTTTGCGTCTTTCAGTTAACTTGATACTTGGTTCATTATCCATTGCACTTATTGGAAATCTTCAGTGACTATGGTGGATGTTGCATTGCTGCTCTGGTGGATACAAATACTCAGATTTCTATCTTTCAAAACCGCCATCAAAAGGCTGGAGTTCCTTCTCAGCTCAGTCTAAACTCCTTGTTGAATCTGTTGAACTGAAATGCTGTCTTGTTTGAAGCATTAAACACTCCTCTAGATATTGCACAGGATTTGCTCATCTATTAGTCGATATTTGTTACTAACTGGAGTTAATGCTGTCTTTTTAGGAACAAATGTTCATGAAGCCCAACGTATTCTCAGTGAAAGTGGACTTCCCATCACATCTGCAAATGACCTTGAGGATGCAGCAAAGAAGGCAGTGGCCAGTGTTGCCAAGAAATAACTCCTTGCGGATATCACTGTGCAGAGTTTCAGAAGGCATCATTCCTGTTGTCATTTTGAAAAGAATTAATGGAGTTTTTCTAAGTAGTCATTGTTGATGGACTTATTTTGTGATGCATAATAGATGAAGGCCMTATTTTTCAGAAAATTTGCAACTACTGTCTTTAAAATTAGTGTATCTTCACCTTTTAGTTTTCATCTTTAATATTGCATTATGTAATATTTCRTTTCACCCTGGGCTCCTTTTTTGCTTTTTTCAAAAATTCTCACTGATAACATAAGATACAATAATGAATAATTGATTTCTATCAACAGGACTGTTCTTTAATCAAACACATGTAGTTCGTGTATCTTTTAAGCAATTCTTTTTTATATTGTAAAGAGATGGCAAACTAATAATAGGTTAATGTATTTTTATGAACTTCTCCAATAATGTACAAATCTGTGTGCTTACAATATCTATTTTTATTCAAATGAATGATGTTTATGTTCTTTTTTAGAATTGACACACTTTGCCTTAAGGTGATATCTTTTTTTAAGATGCAAAAGGATACCTCACAGTAGGAAGAGAGGTTGAATAGTTGATGGTAAAAGGACCTTCCATTCTTATACTGTACCGATATGCAGGTGAAATGTGATCCAGGGTTACAGTTTTTGAAGTGAGGTCCAGTGTTTCTAGGTATAATGCTGTTTTACAGAAAATATTAKTAGAATGTGTATGTCAGTGGAAAAAAAGGCTGCTAACTTCTCAAAATWAACTCCTCCATACGTATGTTACTGCTGTGAGGATTTAAAAGATGAGAATGTGAAACAGTTTTCTATCAGTAGCACAGGCTATTCTTCAAATAATTTAACATTCAARTAATTTAACAAAGAGGAATCTTATATTTTGGGGAATAAAATGCAAATTAACATTTCAATTTTTAAAGTATTTGACTTTTTAGGMATCAGTACAAGTATATACATGAAAAAAAAAATGAGTTTCAGTACTTAGGTATYGACTGAGATTTGATTATATATTCCTTTGTAACAGTCAAAATTCAGGCTGTTAGTTACAGAAATCATTTATTCAGGGAACAGAAGACAAGGCCAAATGGTTTGTGTAACTTAGGAACTCAATACAAATCTCAGGCCAGGAATTACATGCTGAAATCCATCAATAAATTTGAGCGGTGAAGAAATGAGATAATACTGTGATGCGAAGGCTGTAGACTGGCAGAGAGGTAAAATTTACCTAGTAAATTCTTAATTGTTATTTTTGTGAAGCCCTCATCAATACCACCCATAATATAGAAAATGTWAATAATTTTTTGTTAAAACTGCTAGGTTCAAAATACATTATTTGCACTAATTTCTGCCTCTTTATGAAAATTATACGGATAGGTTTACTCTYAACAGCCACTCATGTTTTTAGTCATTTTCTGTTGCTTAAGGCAAAAATATCTGACCGTTGTAACAGCAATAAATATGCCACTAAGTTTGTACTGACTCGCTGAAAGAGAAGGATATTGTTGACAGTTCTAGTGAAGGTGCGTATTAGTGCACTTATCTAAAAGAAGAAATGTTTACCTCACCACAATAAGTAGAAAAAAAATCACTCTGTGTATTTTAATACTGGAAAATAAAGGCATTCTGTGGAAGAACTGTTGATACAATATGGTTACACGGACTGTATAACTTTTGGTCTCAAGAYCATTATGTCTGAACGTAATTATTATTCTACAAAGATGAATACTGGCTGCACTGTTAGTCAAATGTCAAAATGAACCCAATTAATGACTTTGTACTATAAAACAGAAGATTGTTTAATTTGTCTGTTGTGTTCTGTGTTCTTCAATTGAGCATTTTGTCATGGATGGGTGCARTGAAATGCATGAGTTTCTTTTCAACTGGATAATATTCTTGCACATGCTTCTTATCTAAAAATATCTTTTTATCTCTGTGTCTCTGTATATCTCCAATACTCGGAKTAGTGACAGTTGCATTTCCACTAAGCCATATGCAGAATAGAACATTGTCTTTTTTAATTTGCAGATGGTATATGGAAAACTTCATGCGCTTCAGATGCGTATTTTTAACCCAGCACGTTTGACTCGTGCCAAGGCCCTYTGTGCATTTTGCTTGTTTGCAGCGATGTTTTGGTCTGGATTGTGTCTGTTTGCAGAGGTCACTTCTGCATGTATGGAAATCTGTGTAAGGTTAGTCTTATTCTCCCTTGCAAAGAGTTTTAGTTATCAGTCCTGTACTTCTAGCTGTCATAAATAATTTTGTGTAAACACAGTACTGGGAAGCAGTGCATTTGTCTTTGCTCTGGCACATGGAGGCACAACCTGGCAAGGAGCAGGTTTCCCGTCCTCAGCAGCTGTCTGCCTGATTGCTGCCTTCTCCCTGTGCTGGTTGAATGCAAGACTGCTCCAGCTAGCCCATTCCAGCTTAAACCCAAAGGAGAAGTATGGCAAAATTACCCCTCCTGCACAGAGCAAACAGCAGCGTAAGCAGCAAGTAAGTTCCACTTAATCCCCTTTGTGAACGTTTAAGTGGTATTTTGTTAGTCTCTAAATCTTTAAATTTCAGCCAATATTAATAAACCTCTGTTTGACTGGGCATTTAGAAAGGAAAACAAGAGGAAACTGTTAATGCTGACATTGTATTATCTCTTAACAAGATACCTTTAAATTCTCCTAAGGAAAGTGTAACAGCTGGGATTTCTGGAGTTAATGGCCTTAACGTTCATTTACCATCCTATTTGTCAGGCCTTTTCTTCCCTGCATCAGTAAAAGCAGCTGGTATCAGGCAAAATTGCTGTGACTGAAACAGCATGTCAGTGCAAATCAGGCACTAGATGAGATCCCAGGCAGGCCCTTCTTGCAGCAGAACCTGTTTTCCCAGACCGGAGGGCAGCTCCGTGCTTGCCTCRCCTCCCCGGGGTTGTTGCGCCCCAGCTTGGCGCCCGTCACAGCCTCACGCTGGGTGCTCAGGAGGGGAACGTGCCCAYAGTTAGTGCAGGCTGCAGGTTTCAGGGCCTTTACTAGGTGCCCTGGGAAACACCAGCGCTGCAGCCTGGGAACTGACTGCAAAAGGTTGTGCCTGATTTTCCTTTTTTGACTTTCAGAAAGCTCATGTTTCTCTTGAAGTCAAGGSCAGCTTGAGCAAGAGGCAGTCAGAGGTAAGCAGTTCACTGAATATATCATCAACCCAGTCTTTGCCCTTCCTCAGTAGGATTTTGTTTCCCTTTCCCCCACCTTTCCATCCTCACAGCAGCCTCCCTAGTGCTCCCTAGGATAGCAGAGACACCGCAACGCTGGGTATGTACGAACAGAATCCTGCCTGTCCAAACCGGGGTGCATGGAAGACATGGAGATGTTAAAGCAGGAAAGATGGGATAGATGGTGACATGACTGAAAAGGCTGTTTCGGGAAGAGAGAAGAAGAAAAATGCTTCTTCAAGGAGAAACAGTCGTCTTTATATCCGTCGTGGACAAGGCAAGCAGCGAGGAGCTTTGGTTGTGGTAAGGGACATTTAGGTCAAACGTCGTCATGAGGGAAGCTGAGGAATACGCTGTGAAATCATGAATGGTTGTTTTATTTTAGTCAGATGAGCATCTGTCAGGTGTGGTTTAAGAAGAGCTGATTCTTGCCTTAGGCAGAGGAATGGATGAGGTGACCTTCCAGCCTGAATTGATAGGATTTCATGCTCATTGGTAGAGTTTTGTTTTTCCATTTTCTTAGTTTGTAGAGCGTAGGGAAGAGAAAAGACAGATCAGGTGGATTCTTGAAAGAAACTTTTTAATTTAGTTGCCAAGAATCGTCAACTGCTAGGAAAGTAGTAAACAGATTATGCAAACTKGAGTCCTTTCCAACATAATAGGAGCAGTGTTTCTGCGATGCATAAAAGGCCGAGCAGAGAATTAGAGGTACCTATCAGATTTATTGTGTTTAATTTAAAAGGCAACAGGTTGCACCAGCAATTCTTTTTCTACTTAATGAGGCCCATTCATAAGCAGACAAACAGGATTTGCATGTCACCCAGAGGAAATCACGGCATGGGTATTTGTACTTTGGTGCAAAACTTGTGTTGATTGCAGTGATTTAAAACTTCTCCCAGCCCAGCTGGAAAAGTCAGTTTGATGTCAGGATCCTTTCATCCACAGGCAGATGCATCCTTGCTAGAGTCTGTGTCTTTGTTCGGCCTCACAAAGTAGCAGATAAAGATTAAAAATAAAAGTATACATGGATTATTGCATGTTATTCCTCAGGGATAACCACTACGATATAAGGAATACTGACTTAGCCAAGACCTGCTTGCCCTTCCTGGAGATGAAAGARGAATCTTTAGTACATGTGTATATTTGCCTTACCTACAACAGTGGGTGTTGTAGATACAGTAATAGAACAGCACTGCGTGGTGTACRGCGCTCTCCATCTCTTTAGGCTGCTACTTTTCTATAGGACTTGCAGCATTGAACAGGGAGCAGTTTTTTTATGCATCTTGAATCAAAATGGAGCCTGAGAACTTGCTTCTACTGTGGTGCACACAGGTGTGTGTGCTGTCTTTGGTGAGCTGCTCTTCCACTTGCTCTTTGTGTAAGTGCTGGTTGGGCTTGATGTGCTGAGAGAGGTCAAAAAAATGGGGRCAACAAACAGGTCTGGATGGGGAAGGAGGTGGTTTGTTTCCTCACTGGATCTCAGAGCTAAGTCCCTGTTCCACATGTTTCTTCTGCAGCTTGCCCTAATTGCAAGGAAGCAACTTGATGGAGCAGTGATGGTTTCTCACCTTAGACCTCTGCATATCCCTGGAGTGCTCCCAGGGCATCAAAAGAAAAGCAATGTCACAATGACAGGACATTGGGACAGGAGATGCTTCCTGGACCTCTTTCTACCAGGAGAGATTGAGTAATAGGCTGGCACTCGACTCCCAATTAAATCCAGGTTAACTTGTTATGAAATCTAATAGGGACAGCCAAGTCTGGAGAGAGGGAAGCACCTGACAGAAGGAGGTTACTCTGTGAATTAAGTGCTGGTGGGATGTGCAGCATGACGGGGTTTAGAAACAGAGTGCTTTGCATTTGCCAGAACACCTCTCTTGAATGCACACAGGCATGCACCAGGCCAGGTGACAGTGACAAAGTATCGGTAAGTGAATCTGGGAAAGGAGGGCGCAGAGAGATCAAGTATAAGAGTTTTTGCATTTCTCCAGATACTGAGATGGGAAAAWGAGAAATCTGATCTTTCTATTATAATCGACATAAGGAATTGCGGGGCAGCAAAAGGCCACACAGCTAAACAAAGCTGTTCCCTTTAAGTTTATTTCAAATGTCTCACTGCTTTGGCATTGCGTCCTTCAAGACTTTCTCTCTGTAATTGCATGTGGCAACCTCTTTACAGCCAGATGCCGACTGCTGCTCACAGCCCACTCAGAAGCAGACATAGAAAATAACACGTAAAGAAAGGGTATTGCAGGAAGAATTGGAGAGAAGTTCCTCTCTCGTTTCACAAATGGGTCAGCAGAGGGGTTTAAAAAACRCCATTTTGTGGATGCTGCTCTTTTTGGCCGCATGACCTATCRGGAACCACACTCAGCAGCTCAGTCCCTGGCAGTAACAACCCTCCTTTTTTTGCCCTGTCAGGCAATACAGCTCAAGGTTTTTGGTTTTTGGTGCCTCACTTTACCTGGTTGCTTTCTTAGCAAACYTGACCCATTCCCCCCAGTAGGAGAAGAAGCTTTGCTCAGAGGACACAGCAGTTATGTGGTGTCATCTCCTTTGGCTGTAATCTCCTGGACTGTCAGGGAAGTCAGGCCTCTGAAAACCTGCAGATTTCAAAGGATTTATGCTGCATTTCGATCAGAAAGCAGCAGCATCACTGTGGAACATCAGAGTGCTCATCTTCCCTCTCCCCTCTGCCAGCAAGCAAGGAGTGAGATGAAGGCTGCAAAACGAACACAGATGAACCCAGGTCCTGCCCTTTTCTACCTCTCTCAGGTGCAGGGAAGCTCAAAATTTGGGATGCGTGTGTAGATCCTCATCTCTCTCTACTAGTAGATGATTTCAAGTCTAAAATTCTGCGCTCCTGTCTAGGTCCCTGCGATGTCKTTGACTCTCCTCTGAACAGAGTGGAGGACTTGGGCTGCTGGGGAACAGGCTGCTGCTGGGAGGTGCTGGCCGCTCGGCGCAGTGAGATCCCACAGCCGGAATGCGCAGAACGGAGACAGATTCACATATTCTTTTGGGATCTTCTTAACTGGGCTCTTAGCTAAATTTTAGCTTTGTTGATTAGCACTGCTCAGCCTAAACCCCAGCTACTTGGGGATACTGGAAAGCTCTTAGTCCCTGTTGCTGCTTCTAGTACTCCCTACGTGCTTTTCCCAGCAGTAGGAATAACACTTCAGTTGTGATGTAATTCCCTGTGAGTTGCGCTCTCAACAAGCAGATACAAAACATGGAGAAAATGAGGCAATAAATTATTTTGCATCTAATTTTCCAAAACTACTGTCCTCTAGCCTTGGTGAGACATTTGACGTAACAGGCCTTCACAGCTTGTCCACTGTACATCTGGCAATCAGTCCATAAATCTGTTTCATTGAATACTCAGAATAGAAAAGGAACTTTCTCAGACATGCAGGATGGCACTTGTGAAAGAATGAATCATTTTTTCATTAATGTTATTACCATGAAGGGTACAGGATACCACTGCTTTCGCACTGATGTCCAGAATGCCAAATGATTCCTCATCAAGATGACGCTTTGAGGACAAGAGCAGATTAGTGTCACTGTCAATTCTGCATGCATACAATTCAGTCT